AGCAATCGAAAGTCTATGCTTGAATTCTAGCTTCTGGGTTGAAACTTGACCAGCTCCTGACAATGATAAAAAATAAATACATAACATCAAGGAACTCCCAAATGCAACAGAAATAAATTATAATGGAAATAGAACGAGTTCAAAAATACTTGTGTATGAAAATATCAGATTTCTCATGTATTTGGATAGATATTACTCCAAACCTGCAAAGGCAAATATGCCAACTATGCATGTGCTAGATGGAAATTGCCATTTAATGACAGATACAACAAATGAAAGGACATACATATATATACATCTGGATAGAGAGTTACCGTACAGGTGACTGGAAACACTTCCATTCGGTACATACTCGTAGACGAGGAATTGCATGTTGTTTTCCTGGCAATAACCCAAAAGTGTCACCAGATTCCGATGCTGAATAGATGACAAATATCGTACCTGACATCAGTTTTCAGTCTCATTACATCAAACGACAAAAAACAAACCTTGCATTACCAGAAGTACAATGACAAAAACAAATGGAAAGAACAAAAACCAAACCCACATACTCCTCTGGTTTGCTTTCAGCATAATATGATTGAAAAAAAACCAACCAAGAGCGAGCTAGATTGGGATTGAGAAAGGACTTACTTAACATAATATGAATCAACAAAGAATCAACCAAGAATCAACCAAGATGTTGTCCAGTAACAAATCAGATGATGGTCTATTTAATTTGACTGGCTTAAATCCTTTAGTCAGAATATTGGCTAAATTATACTATCTAATTTGTCTGTCATACTTTAGTAAGCTGCAAACGTAGTTCGATTGTCTGTCATATTTGGGAAACAGTAAACCTCCAAGTAATTCAAATTCAAGAAATGAAAAACATAGTTTTTACTATCTACCATCAGCATCTTATGCTGTTATATTTATGCTTACTATCCGAGACAGAATCATATAGAATTATCTTTTGATGTAGAAAGTGACTATTACCTCGTCGATGAATTCCTGAGTAGGTGCCCCGGGACGCTTTTTTATAGCCACAAGCATCCCATCTTGAAGTAAACCCTTATAGACTTCCCCAAATTTCCCTTCCCCAATCAGGCTTCTGTCACTAAAATTTTTGGTGGCAAGAGACAACTCGTCCATCTCAAAATGTCTAGCCTCTCGTATCGATAACTCAATCCCAGCATGTCTTCCAACTGCAGGCAATGCGAAAAAAAAAAAAAAAAAAAAATCTATATTAATAATGGACTTCAAATTTAACATGCTATTTCTGAAGCTGAAAAGGAAAAGTAAGCCAAGGTTAATACCTTGAACAGATGGATCAGAAGAACCTGTCTCAGAAGTTCTTGACACACTGCGACTGCGAGATAGGCAGAACCATATGAGCAAGAAGAGAATCCCCACCAATGCCAACGCTCCTGCAGCACCTCCTAATATCGCTGCAAGGGTACTTGACATCTGGTATAGGAACTGGTTCAATGACTATTACTAATATGCAAATTATTGAACATTGAACCTGAAATTCAAACCAAAAGAAAAATCAAGTAATAAGATTAAGACAACCAAAAGAGTCAACAAATAATATTGGAGAAAGCATTTAAACTGAATAAAATTTATATCAACAAAATAAGAAAGTGGTCTCCCATGCATAGTCAAAGATAGTTTCCATATCGAAATGCATACATATCACTTAAATTTATCCAAATTTCAAAAATACTGATCATAGAAAGAAAAGGGCATCAAACAAAATATGAAAATTGACAAAAGGAAGGAAAAGAAATCAAACATTCAGACCTGTGTTCCCAGAGAAGAAAAGCAGCCAGATCTTCCAAAACCTCAGCTTCATTTGCTAATGGTACACTGACAATCACAGAAAAACACCATCATCCAAATAACACACACTGACCAAATTGGAAAAAGAATAAAGTAAATTTCTTATCTTGAGCAAACAAATAAATAAGAAAAGAAAAGAAAGAATCCAAGTTAAATATAGAATCATATCAAGGGGGGAAAAAAAAAGAGAGACGCACCCCAGAAGTGATCAGAAGCAAATGTTGAAGAAGATGAAAAAGATAGTGATAGTAGAAAGAGAAGAAGCCATGAATGGGGAATTGGGTGGGTGTTAAATCATGATCAGAGGAAATAAATAAAGAAAAGGGAGAGAAAAATAACAGAGAGAGAGGTGATTAAAGAGTGGAAGGAAGAAAAGGAATACAGAGAGGGAGAGAATGATGAATCAACAGAACAGCAGTCCGAGAAGCATCTATCTCCGAGTTGTACTTTAGAATAAATTAGTGAATTAATAATCTATATTTTGTGAGAATCATCGTTGGATACAGACAATGCCGACAGAAAGTGACCTTGGCGCCGACAACACTACCCTTCTCAGGGTTTATTACTACTACTATTACTCCCTCCCTACCAAACCACCAACCCCTTAAAAAATCAATTCAAAATAAAAACAATAAGCCAAAAACCACCATTGAAAATATCATTACTTGGTCACAGAAGCCATCTACTGAATATTCCAAACACACAACCTTGTAAGAAAACTCTGGGATTGAAATTTGAAGCACAGAGAGGGAGATAAAGATAGAGGAAAATGATGACGATGATGAAGAATAGAAGTGAGAGAGAGAGAGAAAGAGAGACGAGGAAATGGGTGTATGAGGGTTTTTTTCACAAATATTTTTAAAAAAAAATGATTTCTTTTTCCTTTTTTTTGTTTGTGTGGGCTGTAAAGCAGTAGATGTATATAATAGTAGTCTGTCTGCTACTGCAAGTTGAAAGAGGAGTAGTAGTAGTAGTGGTCTTTTATGTTCTTCTGTGCCCTTGTACAGTACATCCTAGGCTGTAACAGAGGAAGAACGAGTAGCAGTACAACAAATATCCACAACACACCAACACAATTGCACAATACTTGAGACAATAAGCCCACAACTTAACCAGATATATACCACCGCAGCTTCACTCAAAATAAAAATAAAAATTAAAACTTTGGTTTGTATATACATGTATATATGTATGTATATGTCTGTGTGTATATATATGAAAAAGTTTTGTTACGTGTAGAGCAATGATTAAGAAGAGTGAGTGAAGAAGACAATAAAGGAGGAGCAAGTGAGGGAGATTCAAAGCTGTGGGGTTGGCATCCCCACCAGCCAGCTATGTTGACATTGCTCCTACTTACCATTTTAATAAGTGCTTATCGAAACGCAAAAGCAGAAGAATATATATATATATATGTATGTATATACATATATATATATGGATAACTGCTCTCTGTCCCTCTTCTTGTGTACGCCTAATTTAACGCTTTCTTTTTCTTTGTTTCTTTTGTTTCGTTTATTGAAAAACCACTTTGGATTCTCGACACCCAGAATCATACGACGATTTAGCAGTTAAAAATGATTTCACTCAGGAATCTACTGTACCTGCGACCGAGAAAGTTTTACTTTTTTTTTTTTTTTTTTTTCTAATTAAATTTTACTATATTTCTACTAAAAAAAATTATATAATATTTGTTATAATTGGGTATTTATTATTAAAAAGAAATTATTAATTTTTAAATTTATTATCAAAAAAAGTAATAAACTACAGAATGAAAATTGTAACAAAGGAGGTAAAAAATAGAAAATAAACTTTATATTATAAGTTTTGGATTTAAATATATGTTAGCAATAATACAATTTATACGCCTTTAGTGTGATTTTTTTTTTATATTTTAATTATTTGAGTTAATTTTTTAATTAAATTATATTTTCTGATTTTCACCAAAATGCCCATATTAGAAAATTATTTTACAATTACTCCTAAAAGAAAACCCAAATCAAATTAATTAAATATATTTATTAGGGTAATTTTGTATACCCACATATACAAAATTGCATATATATATTAAATACTATAATTTTTGTAAACTTTGAAAAAAAAAAAATTTAGAAGCATGAAAACATGTTCCCTCGAGGCCCCTACCACTAGTTAAATTAAAAATTAAATGATAATAATAATAATAATAATAATAATAATAAAGGAGAAAATATTCATAATTGCTGATTCCTAATGAAGATTCCCAAAGCTTTGGTGTATGTCAACGTATGTATTGTGGGTTTATAGATCTTGAGTTCTTGATTATTTGCTTTCTTATGGGTTTTACTAAAAGAATCACCATTGGCCACACGTCAATATAGACTAATTTCTTGTCATCATCAACATTTCCAAACTTATACAAAGACATACATACATACATACATACATATATATATATGTCTGTGGGGATTATTATTTAGCCAACTAGAGCTTAACATATGCTATAAGATAAGATATGATGTATGTATGTGCATGTCACATATATATATATGTATATACGTGCATATTCCCCCTCTCTTAATGACATAATATTTTAGTAAGTTCCTAAGGGTTTATATGATTACGAAGTTTGTATAATTATTGATGAGAGGTGAAAATATTATTTGGGTCAATAATACTTGAGGAATATTTTTGTAGTAATTTCCATGATGAATGAAATTGTAAGTGCAGTCCAGGCAGGTGTGTGTACTCGATTCACTACATATAAATCACATTCGTGACAAGAAGTTGACAAGTTGGCAAACTTTAAATAAAAACTGCGTACCGAATAAATCTGTATTATATATATATATGTGTATAATGGTTGCATATTCTTTTTATAACTATTTGATTTTTAAGTTGATAAATTATAATCATGGCATCATCATGGTGATCATGGAGGTAGACCCACCAAGACAACCATGTGCAGCCAAGCCAACTTCGTGTTTACAACTACAACAAACATGACTATATACACATATATATATATATATATGTATTTATTTGGGGAAATGTGATTAGAGTTTTTCAAAGGGTAGATAGTGTCATCTTCTTTTAAGAAATTTACAAATAAAAAAAAAAAATAGAGATAAAAAGATTTTTTTTTTTTTTTTTTTTTTAGCGTACCAACAATATAATAGAATATAGGAATAAAATTACAAATTAATATTTTTTTAAAAATAATTTTTACTAATTAATAACAATTAAATATATCTATATTAATTTAAATAATTAATTAAAGTTTTTTTTAATTTATTTTTTTTAAAAGTATCTAAATATAGTTTAATTACCATAGCTTTTTGTTAGAAAATTAAAAAGAATTGAGTATTTGAAACAAATTAAAAATTAAATTACAATAGAACAAATATTATAAATCAAATTATTATAAATGACTAATATAGTAATGTTTTTATTATTATTATTATTATTATTGGTACTAATCTTTATAATAAGCCTACAAATTTAATTCAAATAAAGGGACTATCGGTGACAATGGCCCAATTAATACTTTGGGGTTGGAAATGTAATAGCCTTCTTTTTGAGGTCCTTAACTGCTAATTGTTAAAAGTTATGGGCCCATTTTACATTTTCGATTTTGGTGTAGGCTTTAATAGGTTCATTTTACCCATACCCTCCGTAATCCATAATTAGCCTCTTAATAAATTAAAAAAAATAATAAATTATTAAATTAATTCTCAAATTTTAATATTTATAATTTATTTATGATTTTTTAATGTACTTTACTATTTAAATTTTTTCATTTGTTTCAAACATTCAGTTTTTTCTTTTTTTTTTATCAATAAAAAATATTAAAATAATTAGGTCTTGTTATTAATTTATTGTCATCAATAACGTGAAAATTTTACATTTAAAGTCGAAAAAAAAAAAAACTAAATGTTTGAAACAAATAAAAAATATTAATAACTAAATTGAGAAACCAAATTATAACAAGTACTAAATTTTAAAAACTATTTATTATAAAATAAATATCTACGTATTTTGTCTTTTATTTCGTTAATTATATGTATGCATGATGGTGTATTTTGGTAAGTTATCTTATTTTTTTTTTACAATTTTAAATTTTATTAAATTTATAGAGTACATTAAAATGTACCATGTGATAAGTACAGTTAAACTAAATAAAGTTAATTTGGAATACCTCAATTAAGCACAATTAAAAAAAGATAAAAGAGTTATTTTATAACTTGCAATACCCAAAATAATGCAATTTACTTAGTAAAAATCATGTAATTAATTAAAAATTCAACCCAAATAAACCTTTTTTATGATAATTAAAAAAAATTAAAAAGTATACTTTTTGAACAACTCCATATTTCACTTTTCATTATTTATATATGTAACACTCAAAAATTAATTGTATGTAATTTAAAATTTATAAATATAATTTTTATAATTTATTTCTTATTTAATTTAGAGTAAAAATTAAGTAAAATTAATTGAGAATTAAATTAAAAATAAATTTGTAGAAAATATGTAAATATTTAGGTTTTATGAGTATTTTTGAAAAAAAAAATCGAAAAATATGGACCAAAATACAATGTTGGGAAGTTTCGCCACATTAGACGCTCAGTCAGCAGACCTAATGAATCAGGACACACCAAGTGGTAGCAGACGCTGATGCAGTGCCACGCAGGAAGTCACGCGAGCGATACGCATGCCCGTGATCGAACGGCCCAGACCTGTTTCCGCGCGCACAGACGGCCCAAATGCGTTCCCTCCCCAAACGCGATCGGACGGCCCATAATGGATCGCGATGGACGACCCCTATTGGATCGCGATGAACGGTCCAGATTCACTCCCTATTTAATCGCGATCGGACGGTACATATCAAATGCGATGCACGGTCTAGATCAAAAGCGGACGGATATAAATAACCTCCATTTCCACCAAACACTAACCTTAGCTGCCAGAACCCCTAGCCGGAGAAGAAGACCTAGCCGCCGGGAAGGAGCCACCACCACTCACCGCCGCACTAGAACCCTTTTCAAAAGCTAAAAATGGTAAAAACTTCCCATTTTGCTCGAAATTCAATTTTAAGCTCACTCATGGCCAAATCAGAACAAAAAAATCGCTCAATCGATCGAAAAATGCCAGCGAAGTTCAGCGGCGCCATCGCAGGGAATTTCAAAAAAACCTCCAATAAGGCCCTTCCTGATTCCTATTTTGTGTAATTTTCCCATTTTTGTGATCACGGTGTCCTTCTCTATAGGTTAACCGAAGCAAAACACACAATCGCAACGTGAGCAGGAGGAGCCGCCGCACCGGAGAGCCCTGCCCCCGTGAGTTTTGATTTTTTGTATTTTTTTGGCCAATCGAGACCCTTTAATATGTTTTCTCACAAGGATCGATACAAAATTGGCCGAATTCGGCCTAAAACGATCGAAAATAGCAGACCTGAGGCGGACTGCCGCCACATACGGCGGCGCCAATGCCGGAGCACGGTAGAGCCGCCGTGCCAGAATTTTGAAATTTGCCAAGTGGACCTCGGGACTGATTTTGGATTTGTTTAGGACATTTGTAGGTACTATTAGCGCGTTTTAATTTTCGAAGAAAAATTCAGAAAACTTGAGAATCGCTTGTAGGCGCAGTCGAACAGCTTAGCTTTTCGGGTATCAAATCGAGTTAGGTTCTCTCACCTTATTCCCTATCATATAACTGAAGTTTAAATAAATAATAATATGGTATTTGTATAAATTAAATAAATGTGCATAATTAATTACGGATTACTAATGGAGCCCGAACCGAAAATTGTTCTCTGTTAATTTCTGTTGATTTATTTTACAGTTTAAAAGCATGATGGTATCTGGTTTATCAATTGTATGGTTTGAATGCATGAATTACTGCCTTACGTGATTACTGTTTGACTGAAAAATTGAGATATGATTGCATTCCCTAATGCATGTTTGTTTACTTATGTGATCATGGTTGATTTGGAAAATAAAGACAAAAAGAAAACGGAAAAGTTATGTGATTAAATAAACAGATAGAACGACAGCCTTATTAGATATCCTAGGAGATGGTGGACGGACTGGGTACATAGAAAATTCAACCATAAACGTTGTCTCATACCGGACGGGGTATGCAGACTTGATAATTTAGTGCTCATTCTAGACGGGGTATGAGGACGACCCACTTCACCCTCATACCGGACAGAGTATTGATC